AAGTGAAATTGAACATTATATTAATACAATATTATAAAATTTTCATTCCAACAAAATATCACTTTTGATTAAAAAAAGTGTTAAAAGTTTAAATAATCATGATTTGGAGTACTGTTTTTTCATTCAAAAATCTTGATAAATAAAATACACCAAAAATATTATTGCAACCAGTGTTCTTGACACACTACAATACAAGAAAATTATTAATATAAAAATAAATCTTTGAAAGGATTTATAAAGACTTACCAGTTGGGAAAAGATGGTGTTTGATTGAAAAAAGTGAGAAAGACGTTTTTAGTTATGAGATAAAAAGGCACGCCTAAAGCATAGAAGTTATGATTTATTATTTGATAATTTATCAAATGAGTTTAACTGTTGTTAAGAGCCTCATTCAATCTGATTCGTTCAGACATCTTCAGACCCATTAAGAGATTTCTTAAAATATAAAACAAATAAACTTAATGGGTTGAATATGAATTATTCAAATTCAGACCTAAAAATCAAGCATACTTTATGGACCAAATTTAAATGATTACGATTCATACCTGCATTAAGTACAAACAAATGAGGTCTTAACTTATAAGTTTTAAACAACGAATTCAAACACTTGCTCTAATACACTTACCCTTTAGAACTCAACCAAAACAGATGGCAAGTAAAGATTATTAATACTAAAATAAGGGATGGGTGAATATTTGTTCTTTAGTTTACATTGCTTAGATAATTAAAATATATAATTTAATTTGGATTTTTCTTTTTAGTGATGTAGCTAATATTTATTAGATTCATTTTAGAATGATTTAGTATTTTTAAATTATGATCATTTTCATTACGATTGATTAATTTGTAATATTCGCTTGATGTGATTTCATTATTATTTTTGTTGTATACTTAAAAATCGTCACTCATCTCATATATTCTGTTATTTTCTTAAAAATACCTTAGACATTTGCATTTTGATATATATGTTTGTATCATGTATTAGTGGTGTACATGATCGGGTTGGTTTGGGTTTTTCAAATATCAAATCAAACCATTTGTATAAAAAATGTAAATTTATGAACAAAACCAAACTAATAAAATTCAAATTTTTTGATTTTTTCAACCTCGGGTTGGTTCGAATTTTTCAAAAACCAAACCATTTTATCGAATTTTTAAATTTATAAATCAAACCAAATAATAAACCTTGAATTTTTTCAGTTTTTTGGATTTTTCAGTAATGTTTGCATACAAACATATAATTAATTTGTGCTTCACTTTAGTCCAACAAAAATTCAATTATCTAATACGTTTCTTACAAAAATAACACAAAATATGAGATGAATATTGATGACACAAAATTATTCAATTAAAAATAATAATGAAATCGTCATATAAAATCAATATTGTAAAATCATAATGAAAATATTCATAATTTAAAAGTATAAAATCATGCTAAAATAAGTTAAATAAGTATTAGTTACATTACTAAATATTTAAGGAAAATTAAAATTAGACTATGTATTTAATTATCTAAACCGATGTAAAACTAAAGAACAAATATTCAATATTATTGTCATTCTTAGTGTTAAATTGATTTTCTTTTTGTATTAGGATTAATTTGATTTTGATTTAAGTTTTATTATAATTATCAACATCTATAAACCAAAATCATTATTGAACCATTCTGAATTCTAAGTTTTAAAGTTGAAATAATAAATTAAAAGTTAAAACTATGAAATACCATAAGAAAATTTAAAAATTATATCAAAATAAATATTTGTATGTATAAAATAAATTTTAAAATGACATATATAATGTCGGCTTGGTTTAGTTTCAGATTGGTTTTTTTAGTTAAAACCAAACTATCCAAATATAGTCACATTTTTTTTTCCAAAACACAAACCAAGTCAAACCAAACCGCTAGTCGCGGTGTTTTTCGGGTTGACTTGATTTGGGTTTAATTTAGTTTTCGATTCGGTTTTGTATAACCCTATTATATCATGTATGAATACTTTATCAGAAATATAGGAAAAACCCAAAAAAAAAATTGAGGTTAAAAAATTCAAGTTTTATTAATTTTATTTAAAAGTTTGACACAAATAATTTAATTAAATATTTGAAAAATGAAAATCCATATATCCATGTGCAGCCCTACAAAACAATATAGATAAACATGTAACATGTATGTTTTATGTTATCTCTATTACTTTTTAATTTTGTTTGTAGATACATTTTAGGACACACATATGTTAAGAGTGACTCCCTCCTTTACTCCACTTTGGGATATACTGCATTTAGTCCGTGACCGTGAGAGAGGAGCATGTAAATGTCTGAAAAATAATAGGGTTGTTTGCAAGATTCTCCAATTATTTCAACTTTTGTTTGATTGTTTTTTGGTCTTCATGCTTTTAATATAGTCTAAAAATTATAAATAGATGTGAAGTTGTAAACTAAAGGAATATGATACTAGATTAATATGATTTAATATATTTATGTATGAATAAAGTAGTGAATAACCATTATAGTCTTAATGAGTTATCAATTTACCCAATAAATCAATATTTTTCAGCGATATTTCTCTTTTTCTAATATATATATACATACATATATATATACATACATATATATATATATATATATATATATATATATATATATATATATATATATATATATATATGAATCACACGAGTGAACAGTTAAAACTTTGTAGTCACAAATTAGGGGAAAACAAATTTACATGCCCGTGATGTTGATTAAATTTTTTGAGTTAATACCTCAGATGGCCACTCAACTATGCATTCTTCTCTCAGAAAGTACTCAACTTTCAATTTTCACTCAAAAGTCACTCAACTATGCACTTCTTTCTGAGAAAGTCACTCAACTTTGAATTTTAACTCAAAAGTCACTCAACTATCCACTCTTTCCTCAGAAAGTCACTCAACTATCCACTCTTTCCTCAGAAAGTCACTCAATCTATTAAATTATTTTTTAACTAAAATTTATTGATATTAATTATTTATATAACAAACCAAAAATTTTAAAAAATAAATTAAATCATTTAGTGATCCACCCACCTAACCCGACCCATTAGAAAATATAATATGACCCATTTTATTTTATCTTTAATCCTAAATTAATCCCTCTCTTTAAACCTTGAATTAGGATTAAAGACAAAAAAAATGGGTTATATCATGTTTTTTAATGGGTCGGGTTACGTGGGTTGATCACTAAATGGTTTAAATGGTATTTTTATTTTTTAAAAATTTTGATTTGTTATATAAATAATTAATATCAACAAATTTTAGTTAAAAAAAATAATTTAATAGATTGAGTGACTTTCTGAGGAAAGAGGGGATAGTTGAGTGACTTTTGAGTTAAAATTCAAAGTTGAGTGACTTTCTGATAAAGAAGTGTATAGTTGAGTGATTTTTGAGTGAAAATTGAAAGTTGAGTGACTTTCTGAGAGAATAGTGCATAGTTGAGTGACCGTATGAGGTATTAACTCAAATTTTTTTGAAGTAAAGGGCTTGTTAACTTTCCATATTTATGGAAAATCATATTAGACTTTTTACATCATAATTTTGATTTTTGGGTCACATAAATTTCGTTAAAAGTGAAAAAAAGATTTTAAATGATAACAGGATAACTTACTAATTTCATACCAAAAAGAAGAATTTCAAGTTCTAGTCAAATGAATTAAAACTAAGAACTCACTCACCTAGTCATAATAGTTTGTATTAGCGGTGTACATCATCAGGTCAATTCCGATTTTTCAAATATCATATCAAATCATTTATGTAAGATTTTTAATTTATAAATCAAAACAAACTAATAAAAATCATTTTTTTTTCAAATTTTTCAACCTCGGGTTGGTTCAGGTTTTTCAAATACCAAATGAAATCATTGTGTCGAATTTTTATAATTATGAATCAAACCAAACTAAAACTTCGGATTTTTCTAGATTATTGGATTTTTCGGTAAAATTTGCATACAAACATATAATTAACTTATGCTCTAAATATTTCTTTAGTCCAACCAAAATGCAATTAATTAAGGTGTTACCTAAAAAAATGACACAAATATGAGATGAGAATTGATGACAGGAAAATTTTCAATAAAAAATAATAATGAAATCATCATATAAAATAAATATTGTAAAGTTATAATGAAAAAATAATCATAATTTAAAAGTACTAAACCATGCTAAAATAAGTTTAAATAAGTACAAGTTACATTACTAAATATATAAGAAAAAATAAAATTAGACTATGTATTTTAATTATCTAAAACAAAGTAAACTAAAGAACAAATACTCAATATATTATTGTCATTCTTAGTGTTGAATTGACTTTTTTCTTTTGCATTAGTATTAATTTGATTTTGATTTAAGTTTTATTATAATTATAAACATGTATGAACTATAATCTTTATTCAACCAATCTGAATTCTATGTTTTAAACTTGAAATAATATATTAAAAAGATAATTACTATAAAATAGTATAAGAAATATTTTAAAATGATATCAAAGTAAACATTTTTATGTAAAATTAAAATTTTAAAATTAAATATATAATGTCAGGTTGGTTTGGTCTCGGGTTGATTTTTTTTTAGTTAAAACCAAAATCAACCCAAATATAGTCGATTTTTTTTTCAATACCAAACCAAGTCAAACGAAACCACTAGTCAGGTTTTTTTTTTGGTTTGACTCGATTTTCTATTTAATTCGATTTTCGGTTCTCGATTCAATTTTGTACACCCCTAGTTTGTATAATCAACGTAGATACTAGTGTCTATATTTTTGACAGATATACAATAATTATACTAGCTAAAATCTATAAGAAAAAGAAAAGATTACAATTAATTACGAAATCTTAATGAGGGATAGTTTAGGTATAGATTCGTATTCTCAATAATTTATTTGTTATATTAAAAAGAAAAAAAAAAGATAGTTTAAATGTGTTTTTGACAACTACGTCTAACTTGTGTCGTCTCTTACCTATTCTGCTTTTTGATATCTTGGGATAGCTAAGTTTTGGGTATAAAATGGGCTCAAAAGTTCAATTGAACACTTGTATATCTTCTGAGAATACTACAAAACTATTACTTTGCTATTGTGTTTGCAATATTTCAAAAGAAGATCAAATGGCTGCTAATAATGATCTTATAACGAGGTTCCCCTTCCTTCAACTTGTGATCGGAAGGACATGCATGATTTGCCTAGAGAATTTCAACTTAAGAGACTATTCAGAAAATGGCACCAAAAGAGCCATTACCTTCATCCAAGGTTGTCATGGACACCCTGCCCACATGCGGTGCTTTTTGGACTGGATTATTCATGCGGAACAAGAATACGACGTTGCTTGTCAACATTTGATCGACACTGTTGTGTTACCAAACAACATGAGTGGTCAAGAAGCTGCAAACCTCTTTCAAGAGCGACTCAGTAATCTTCGTCATGTCAATCCCATATGTTCAACATGCGCAACGCCGCTTGTAGTAAACGAGTACATTCACCTTACTGCCATGGCTCCTCCTCCTCCTCATTTGATTCCCTCTGCCCAACATCTCCCATTGGCCCCGTATGACATACCCATGGACCTGCATGTTACACTTCCAAATTACCGTTCTGGTTGTTGCAACTACCCTCACTTGCCTCGAGAGTGGTTCGTCATTACACAGCCGTGTCGTCACACCTTGCACACGCGTTGTTACCTCAACCTGCTCATGGGGAACATGTCATGGAGGAATGTTCGTCGCCTACTCAACCCTGACAACATAGTTCGGTGCCCAACCTGCGATGTTGTGGTTGAGGAGGTCCACCCCAACTGCGTCAGAGCTTATGATTAGGGTTTGACACTGGTGTTGTTGTATGTCGTAAAATGAATAATGTCTGTGTCCCTTTGCTATGCGTGGGATATAGATATGTGTCTATCATTTATTTTCACTGAGCTTATGATTAGGGCTTGACACTGGTGTTGTTGTATGTCGTAAAATGAATAATGTCTGTGTCCCTTTGCTATGCGTGGGATATAGATATATGTCTATCATTTATTTTTACTAGTGTTGTGTGTTTATGATTTCTTTTAGGTGTTGTACTGTTGCATTTGCTTTTGTGGAGTTGTAATTGAACTTTAGTTGTGAAACTGGTTAGAGTATCACATTCATTTGCATAAATGTGTCTACGCTTATTATGTTAGTTAATGTTTCTGTGGAAAAAATTAACTTAACTGCTAGCATTATATTCTCATTTCGTAATCTATTTTTGTTTCTCGTTTAACATATGCATTATTTTATATATATTCGAGAAGAAAAGTAAATACATCTTTGCTAACCAAAAGACACAAGCAAATTCGATTCAAAGCAAACAATAAATTACATATTCTTTCAGCTACATAGCAAATATGCTTCATATGAATGTCAGAATAACTCATTACCTACTAAACACCTTATAAAATTAATAACTCATTCATTACCTTCTAAACACACACATATATAAAAACCACACTTGGGCATTTAACCCATTACCCCTACTAAACACCTTGCAATAATATCTGCAAGTCGATGTGGCTTTGCATAAAATAACTAATTTAACTTATGTCCGGTAAGATAAGTTTTGTGTTCCCATTCTTGCCTGATGCTTAAGGTTTTCGATCTCGTCCTCCCTTCTTCAGGCCTTGCTTGCTCATTCCATGCCTTCTTGCATCTTTCTTCATTCGTCGATCAACAAGAACTTTCCCCCTGCCAACCTTCACCTGAACACCCTTCTTTGCCACTACGTATTCCCTTTCTGCTCTTTTAGGTGTTGCCTTCCTGTATAGCTGTTCAATCATTCTACTCTTTGAGCGATCAGATACATCTGCTTGGTCTGATATCGAGTTAGCTTTCTTCCGAATCTTTTCCAGCTTTCTCTGAGCAGCCCTTTTCTTTCGTGCTTTGGCTTCTGCTACCTTCTTTGCAGGACGGGCATTGATTTCTTTAAACTGAGCTCTCATTGCAGCAATCTCCTCTTTTGTCACCGGCATTATCAGCTGTCGATGCCTCTTCTCCTCGTCAACAAACCACTTTGGCAACCCCTCGTCAACAAACATATACTTGTTGTAACCATCATCCATCATCGCCTCTCTCTGCTTTTTCAAAATCAATTTCTTTGCTACAGACAATATTTCAGCCTTTCGGTCGATATCAACACCTGATTCATCAGATGACGAATCACTTGAATATGTAGGTGGTACAGGAACAATCTCAAAATCATTTGGTGTCTCAGATGATGGGACTTGGAGCGAACCATCCATTCTTTTCTTTGACAGATTTGGAGCAAGCAATTCGCCAGTTGTCTGTGACTTAGATATTAAGGTGACTTCATCTACTACTAGCATTTCATCTTCGCTGTGATACTTGTCCAACATCTCTTGCTCTTCTGGCTCAACAAAAACATCTTGAGTAAACCACGTTTTTACAACCTCCTCTTGAGATGGAGCGGTTTCTAGAGGTATGATCAGAGGATTCACTTGATCCTCTCCCTTATCACCGTCAGAGTCTTGAGCAGAATGAGTCATACCATCTTCCTCACCACGCTAAACATAGAGATACAGAAAAAGTGAAATAAGGATACACTACATCTAGTTCTTATGGGTCAATTTTGAGCTAAATCCAATCATTGGTTCGCCTGATTAGGTTTTTTGCCCAAAATTTGACCCATCAATGAATAGATTTTCATTCTAGACTGTACACACAATTAAAAATTACTATACCTCCAAGAGGTTACAATCATCCAAGTAGGAAATTTTGGATCGCTTTGTTTTTCTTTCCCCTCGAGCCATATAACTTTTGACGTGGTCCTCAAGCAACCCCTCTATTTCATCGTCACGTCTGAAAATTTTAATGAACAAGTTCCCATAGTGGTACAAAGTCAAATAATCGGTTTTGATACAGTTCTAGTTAACTGTCTGGTTACCTTAAGCGATCTTCTTCGGAGTCCATATCGGTAGATGCATTCTCCGGGGCTTCCAGGTCATTTCCGTCTGCTTCGCTATTTACTTCAGCAGTTCCATCATCACATTCATTGTCATCAACAAGTACTACATCTCTCTTGCACTGAATTAAATGGGCCAGATACTCAGCTTAACAGGAAAGTAGTTTAAAAGAAAAAGCAAATGATGATTTAATTCATTTAGACCACTAAATGAAATATAGGCCAACATGTAAAAACAGGTCTATGCTCTATTTGGATATAATGCATTAAAAACAATTTATTGTTCTGCTTTTTATCAAGTTATAAATTTCATAAAGGGCAAAAAATATGCCCGTAAAAAAAGTACATAAAAAGGCAGAAACCTTACCAACAAAATGGTTTTATGAAAAAAAAAACATGCAGTATTATAGAACCTCATAATATGCTACACCTCAAGATCTTTCTCTACTCTGTAAAAATCTCTCATATTACTCCCTCTCCAAACAACCCACGTGAGTGCTAGCACACCAACATCTCATGCCCTGCTCCATTTTTAGAGAAAACGCAACTAAACATAGTTTCTTTCATAGTCCCGACATCACCCACCCAAGTACAGACCACCTCAAAATTTCCCAAAAGAAGAACGCTATCCCACAATGTAAAAAGGAGGTGATCTACATTATCCCACAAGTCTTTAAAGGTTCCTAAACCTCAAGTCCCACTGCACATCTCCCCTTGTAAACTCCACAATCGACCACTGCTAGCATCCCTGTTTGGTGTAAAATTATATACATGTTCAGACATGTCATTCTTAGGGCTCATTTGGTTGGAGAACAAGTTACCCCGGGATTATCTCAATGTGGGATAAAAATAACACAACAATCCCGGAAAAAATAATCCCGGGATAAGTTATCCCTCGATTATATTCCAAACAAACATGGAATAAACTCATCTAAAATTAATCTCGGGATGAGTTATCCCTCTTATCCCTTGTACCCAACAAACCCTTAATGTGTTGTTCCCACACCACCTATGTCCCCAAAAGCTCACCCTACTCCCATCACCAACCATGAATGAAATGTTTTCATAAACCTCTTCCACCCCCTTTAAACTCTTCCAAACCTATAAACACAAATGTCTCTGCTACGGGTGGATGATAAGGGTTATGAAGTAACAAACTATGCAGAGTGAAGTGGGCATACCTTGATCAATGTTAGAGAAAACAGCTCCGGATCAGCAAAACCATCTTCAGCAGCATCGGACTGCATCCGCAACACCTCACGTGCTTTGTCCTGCAGTTTAAAGAAGGAACGAGAAGTAAGCTAATGATAACAGCAGTTGGAACTATGTCACAAACAATGGTCAAAGTTTCAACATCTACATGACGAAGAACCAAAAGATTCAGAAACAAGAGTTCAAGCGGTAGCACCAATACAGAATATTGATTTATAAAGGCAGAATAACGAAGGAGCCCAGGTCTGCTTCTTCCTTTTATTAAGATCAAAATGAAGCTGGGTAGGGGTAAGCAAAGCAACTAGAAGCCCTGGAAGACGAATTATTTGCATTCGAACAAAATGAGACCAAATAGACAGCAAAGGATAAAAAAAAATCCATAGCTAATCAAGATATAGCTGATTAACAGAAGCAAAACGCAAACAATATTTTAGCTGAAAATAGCTCGGAATAAGTTCTCTTAGCAGTACACCAGATCCCACCACTTGACACTTGACAGTGATAAAAAGGCAACCGGAATACAGATTACAGCTGATCTGCGAAGTTGTCGGTTTGTGATTTGACAAGGTAAACTGGGCAGAAATATTGCTGACAAAGATGCTCAAGGGAGCAGTAAGAAGATAAACTGGAAAACATAAAACTAAATTCATTCAAGAGAACAAACAAAACATACAAGTATAATTTGCATTTCGGTTTTTTTGTTCTCTCTATGATTATCATAAACCCAAGTATCACAATTCCTGGGTTGCATTCTGAACTTAAGAGTAGAAAATAGGATAACAACACAGAATTAGAAAGAGAAAGGTAAAACATATCCATTAACCTTGGCTTGTCTTTTAGCTAGAACCCTTTTTTCTCTTTTGGTCTTTCTCAATTCAGTTTCCTTCAACTCTTCTAGTTCTTTTACAAGTCTTGTATCTTCATCCTCTTCTCTCTCACATTCAATTTCTACTTTTGGATTACTAATGGTCTCTGAAGGAGCCAAAGCTTTCCTCATAAGCTTACGCCACCTACAAGTCAAAGGATATTCATGCAAAACTGATAAGAAAGATATCATGTACCCTCTCACTGACAGATAACAACCTAAACAGTTTACATCCCATTAACAGGTCTAAGACATGCTTTCAAATGCAAACACCAAAATCTAAGAAGTTTCTTGTTCCGTACTTCGAAAGATGTTTGAGATCTTGCTCCCCCAGAACGCGCAAGTCCTCACATAGTGTTCTAACCTGTGGTCCAAAATTGAACTGTAAGGCAACAGATGGAACAAAGAATGCTTCTAACAAATATAAAAAACACCATTCATCAGAGGTTATACCTCTTCTGTCGTCAGAGGATGCTCTCTCATTGGCAAAGAAGCGGGATCATCAAACATTATCGAAGTAACTGAGCCAAGGCTCTCGATATCAGACCAAACAAAATCGGCAGCAGAGCAGACCTTCCTTAAGACTGTCTCCCCATCTTCATACCTGCAGCATTGGTTTTAGTAGTATACAAAATAGATATAGAAGAATATACTCTTTTAAATGCAGAACGGATAACAAGTAGAAGCTAGTTATAGGTTTAACGCAAATCATCAGATCAAAGTGAACTAGAATACAAGATAACCAAATAAAACAAGTCATTTAACTGTGACAAAAGACAAGAGTATGTCCTCTGACACAAGATGAAAATCCACTACTTCATCAGTTTTGACTCGGTTTTTAAGGCATCCAAGAGGTCTAATCATGAACAACATTTGTTTTCACAAACAGCCAATATGAAGTCTCTGGCATGGACAAAAGGTGAATGATGTGCATAAGCATAAAAAACATTATTGATAGATGATTTACCCATCCCGGTGTCTCTTCTGCTTCGTTGCTCTGAGAACATCGACCACCTATTCATACATACACATGGTCATTTCATTGAGCGTCTATACTGCAAGTGCCAATAAGAGGATAAAGAGAGAGAGAAAGTAGAAAAGCAAAATTTCGGTACCTTGAGAGGT